AGTACAGACAACTCATTGTTAAAAAATATGCAATTAAGTATTATATTATGTAATAATTAAAAATTATATAACTAATTAATTAAAAATTTATTACAATTCCAAACAATTTATTTTCTTATTAAAAGCAACATCTTAATTATTTTCTTAATTATTTTCTTGATTATTTTTTAAGTTTATTATTCACATAATTGCAATATCATTTATTTATAATAAAGTTTAAAAACAATATTAATTAAAGAAGTTAAGTTTTATTAATAAATATATAACAATTACATAAAATCCTTTGAATATTTTAAGAAATATATCTATTATATCTATCACAAAAATAAACATATACTTATTATTTTATTACTATTATAAAACATATCTATACTATTATAAAACATATCTATTATTTTATATTTATTATACATATATTTATTTATATTTATTTATTATTATTTTATATCTATTATAAAAATAAATATATAATTATTTAAAATAAAATTTAAAATTTTTATGCTTTTTTATAAAAAAATTTATTTAATTAAGAATATAATATAAAAAATTTAATCGCAAAATCACATATTTCAATTTGAATTATTTTTCTAAAAATAATATCTTAAATACATATAACGAAAAAATATTTTTTATAAAACATAATGGACAAGGAAATATTTTTCATAGAAAATAATAAAAATATTACTATTCAAATCGAAATATTCATTTTAGTATTATCGAAAAAAAAAAAAAGGTAAAAAGAAATAAAAAGACAATAATAATACCGTATATTTTATCTTTAAATAAATAAATCAATAGTTTGATACTGCATTATCAAATACTTTATATTTTAATATATAAGTTATCACAATAGTAACTGGAAATATAATGTAAATAAGAATTCTACTCAAAATTCTTTCAAAATTCTATATCTACCTTTTCTCTCTATAAATTTCTTAAGTTTATACATATCAATAATAACAAATAATAAAATAACATAACTGCAAACAATTTTATTCATAATTTGATTTAATTTTTAATTTAATATTCATAATTTATGCATAATTGTTATAATTTCATTATAACAATATTTTTTGAACAATCAAATAGTGAAAAAATAGAAAGAGAAAATAAAAGAAAGTAAAAACAAAAAAAAAAGAAAATCAGTTATTATCGATCTAATATTATCATAAATACATTTAATAGAAATAAAAAGAAATTCGGAAATTTCAAAAAAAAAATTTTTTATTTTGATTGCATATTTCTTTTATTTTATTTTTGTTGTTAATTGACATTTTAATTAGTATCAAATATAATTTCATCATATTTACAATTTTTTTTTAATTAATAATTTTTATAATTAATTAAGGAATCTAATACAAAGAAGATTAAAACTTTTACGTAAAGATAATTAATGTTACAATGTTAGCATTAAGAGATATTAAAACTTTTATAAAAAACAATATTTTAATAGGAATTATATAATTAAGATTGAATTTTTTTAATGTAAACTTATTAATATGATGGAATATCTGAAAATATTTTATTTTTTATTTTATTTTTTAAATAGTCAACTACTAAATCTAAAAATTGAATGAAAAAAAAATTTTATAAAAATTATTTTTATTATAAAATATTTTATTATATTTATTGTATTTAACAAAACATATGTTTGTTGTTTTATTTACACCAAAATATAGGAAATTTTGAAGTTTTTAAGTCTAATTTTATAAATAATTAATTAAAATGATTTAGTTTAAATAATTTTTATATATTTTCTATTTTATTATATTATATTTTATTATATCTGTAATCTACATTTGAGTTTCTTGTAAATGTCATATGTTTATAGAATAAATAATAATATAAAAGTTATATTTTTGAATTTTATTATTTTTTACGAAATTGCGTTTATAGCAATAACGAACAAAATTGTGCATAGTATAGAAATATACAAGTTTCATTAAAATACATAAAAAAAACAATTATTTGCATATATAGTACAATAGAAATTTTATTACGTATTAAAATCAAATATAATAATAACTAATAATAACTAAACAATGAAAGATATAAAAATTAATAAAAAACAATTTTTCATTTGTGATATAGTTCTTTCTTTTACTAAATCCTTCAATTAATTAATTATTAAAATGAATGGTAAATGTACTACAAAAATGTAAAGAATGAATATTTTATAATTAGTCATTTTATAATTAATCACATATAGATATAATTTTTAAATGTCAAAATAATTTATATATTTTCTTCAGAATTCTGCATATATAATAAATGTCTATCATAAATTATAATTAATTAAATATAATTACGAAATTATAGAAAAGATTATCGATTATATTATATTATTAATCTTCTAAAATTAAAAATATCAGAATTATAGATTCAAATAAAATCTATTAACTATAATTCTATTTTAAAAAAAAGAAAAAAGAAAATATATATTGAAAACATATAGTGGATACTCTTTTTAAATTAATTTCTTATCGTCTTATATATTTAGGTATATATATATATATATATATATAATATTAATATTAATAATATTAATAATTATTATTATTAATATTAATATAATAATATTAATTAT